GGACCTGATGGGCTTTTCAGCGGCCCATTTTATTATGCTCTCTTTGGCCCGCCCCAAGAGATTTTACTTCGTTATGCATTAATTATTTTTAAGCAAATGGACTTACATTTGGATTTGTGATTTGTTATTTCCACAGATGGAATATTTGGAATTTCTTTGCTTGCAATATCAATGGCAAGCTCATCGTGGTCCTTTGAATTCCATTGTTATTAGTTCTTATGGTTAGTTTAAACTCTTATGATTTATATGGAATTGCTTGGTTTCTTATGTACGTGATGTTTATTTGTTTGTATGATGATGTTAGGTGATATGTGGTCATGGTCTGAGAGACCTACTCTCTTTTGTTGCTTCCAATTCCATTGACCCATTTCCAATATCTTTTCGGCAATCACAACAAAGTTGGTCCTCTTTTTGTCAACCATGATGATGAAAATGAACTCCTTGGAGACATTTTTCTGTGGATCAGCTTGTTTCGTGCATTGTATTGCAGTTAGATGATGATAAGAAGGAGGCAGGCAAAAGGAAAATATGGCTTTCATTGCGACTTTCTTTATTGCACAAGTGGTTTGGTTTAGATTCCTTTCAACTAGGGATGGTATTGGTAGGTCAATGCTTGGTTCACTGTCCTTTTATTTCGTAATTTTGTACTTCTTTGGAGCTCATTTTCCTTTGTGCAAGATTTTCATATGTATTTGTGGGTACTGGAATTCAAGTTTGTTTACACAACCCAAGACTAGAGCCGAGTAAATCGTGTTATTCATCATCATTTTCTATGTTTTTAATTATTTTACGAATTGTAATATATGTTTAAAATTTTATGAAACTTAATAAATTTGATTTTTTCATGTTTTTCATTTTTTAATAAAAAAAAATATTTTTTATTTTTTTGATACTCACATGGTGATATACAAAATTTATAAAATCCTAAAAAATTAAAAAACTATTAAAACTAACATTAAATTATTTTTGGTGATACTCTTAATGTATCACCAATAATGATGCTTTTATTATGTATCTTATGTTAAAGAAGAAAACATGAGCAAAGCTTTTGGTTTAGTGAAGAAGATGGAGGAGAAGCAAGGAGGATTAGTAGATACATAATAAGAACATCATTATTGGTGATATAGATATAGATAGAATAACCCCAATACGATGAAATAAGGCCTGAATACGCTCAGCCCATCCCTCCTGGAGGATCATCGGACGAGTACTAAGAGGTTCTCGTCTTCCGAATCCCCGAGCAGCAAAAGCAGCTCTTTGGCGGCGTTCAGTATCGGGACGGTATGGACGAAAACGATCACGCCTTTTTTCTGTCGGGCCACGAGCTCGAGCCATTTTTGCTCTGCCGCTTTCAATACACTGGGGGAATCTGCAAACCCTAGCCTACAAGTACACAACTATGTGGACCTAATGGGCTTTTCAACGGCCCATTTTGTTATGCTCTTTTTGGTCCCCGTACTTTATAATGTTTTTATATTAGACCCCAATTTCTTGTAATTAAGCATTTACTTCTTCCTCGTTTCATTGTTTTTTCCTCGAATTCTCGAACTTTGGTGTATTTATTTACTAGTCGAAGTGTCTAACCATGTATCAATTGGATAAAATATAGGAAGCAGAATTATAATTGTTGTAAGTTTTTATTTTAAACACGAGCTAAAACGACATGTCGGTGATGACGGTGGGGAGGGATAACAAGAACAAGAATCCGTACGCGTTTCTTGTTATCATACGTGAGTTGTATTGCAACCAAACAATATTCTCTACTTATCAATCAATATATCTTTTGCATATTAAGTTAATGTATATAGTATAGTGGAAATCAAATGTATTATATATTTTCAATGGAATAATAAATTTATTATTATATAAAATCAGATTCATCGAAGTTTTTAAAACAGTTTTTTTTTTTGTCATCTAAAAATTTTATTTAAAACACAAATTCAGAGAAGGATACACGGTAGAATACAAGGTAGAAAACCAATCCGGGGCGTAAAGACACCAGTCCCAGAAAGTAAGCACACATCTACAAGGAGCATAAAACAAACACAAATAAAAGCAATCCTAATAAAAGGAGGTCAAAGCCAAACAACCTCTGGACAAATCAGCTTAAGTTCACAACTAAGAACACAAACATCACCTACAAATTCTTTTGTTTCGTTTCGAGAGACCAATGCCAACAGCTTACCAAAAAGACCTAGAGAAGCCGATGCAACGAACGTGGAACCTCCTATAGCAAATAAACCTACTTCACATTTTTTAGAGACCAAGAAATCAGACTCCGGCAAGATAAGATCGTGACCATAACATGTCTAGATCCTCATAGTTCTCCCGAATACGGTGAAATCAAAGTAACAACGACTTGACTAGTTACACCTCTTCTGAAATCAATAGATATAATCAGTTCTCGATCAAACCTCAACTTGTAGAGACAAAGAGCGTAACTAAAACACACCGAAACTTGCCAAACTCAAACAAGAAAGACAAGCGATCGAATCGGAGTGAGAATAAAGACCTCCACAAAGAGCAGGAATTAAGGCAGGTGAGAAGATGAGATATCGA